CTCTTCTACTGTGCTGCTATCCTATGGGATTTCGCTAGATGCCGTCGGACGCCTAGTAACAGGTGGAGAACACTGGTCAGCTTCCGCGAGGGACCGCGGAATGTCGACAGGTCGTTGATTTTACTGGTCTACGATCTTTGGCCCGCATCATCGTCACAGCTGCAAAAGTAACGAAAGGTCACAAATCAGCATGGCGAAGCTGAATGACGCAAAACACGCTTAGGTAAATTTAAATTGCGCATGGACTGACTGGACTTGGCGTTTTGGCGAAAGAGAGGCTCTCCTTTCGTACGTATATAACTGGCTGGACGCCAGAGTCTCGCGTTCGTGTCGTCTGCCCGTATTATCGCTTTGTCGCACCGATCTCCTGGTTAGAAGGATTTCGAAGTACCGATCTCAGACGTCTCTTGTCATTCGTATAACTGTCTTCTATACGTTCCACATCCTCCATACCCATCTCCTCCAGTGTTTACCCTTTTCAGAATCCTTGCGAAATTTTCGCTTCGACATATTCACTGTATATTCAACTCGATCGTACTTACGCAACAGATATCACGCTACACTGAAGTAGGATCCGAAAATACGTTTCTCTCTCTTATATTGACAAATATTTTTTTTCGGAAACTCGTATTTGCGTCTTTTGTCAAAAAAAATATTTTTTTGTTCCTCTCCATTATATTTAGTTACTATATTCAGCCGAGAAAACATTTATCTTAGCGGCTAATATGAAAAGTTCGCCGCGCGAAATTGACTCCCGTCGAGTTTCACAGTAGGGACGCACGGGAGTTGGAATGAAGTCTAAAATGGCACGGACGCAAAATATGCAGCTCGAATATAAATAAGGATATAAGAAGAAGACACCGAGAGCGAGGAAGTCTCCTGGCTGAGACAATGACGGCGTGAGACGATGCCGAAACCATGTTAAACTTTCCAGAGCAGCTATCTCGGAACACAAGGGTCCCCATGAGTCTCAGGACCACCTAGGTCACGAGATGTAATCATAATTGTATAATAGCTCGGTAAACTGGTCGGGTTATTTATGAGCCGCTCGCTCTGTCGGCAATGTCAATGCGTGCAGGAGGATCTCGAAGACTCGATTGTAGCCACGACTCGCGCCGCCATCCTCTTGTAAGATACCACCCTACCCCATGACATTTACACCAGTACATCCTGTTGCCAGCTCCATTTACGTGCTCGTGATCTCAATGCTACCCGTCACGATCAAAGTCACCGTACGTCAAAATTCACCACTTCCTGTCGACCTTTAAATATTACAGGATGAGTCTATAGACGGTCCTGTGTTCATTAAACTGATCGGAAGTGTTCAGGATGTAATGGCTGACAGGTCAGAGATCACTGACGTCGATAGCGAATATTGGTGAATTTAAGTAAAAAAAAAATCGAAAATAGGACATTGGCTTATATTAGTTTCAAAAGAACCGATCACCTGCCCCGATCTAGAAGCACGATAAGAGACGTTCGTTCTCGTATCAGATAACTGGTCAGATATGTGATCGGGGTTGGACGAGTAGAATTGAAGTCTATATGTACATATATATATATATATATACATATGTAAAACTCGCTCGAGAAAGACGTACTTTGGCATGCGTGTACCAATACACTGTCGCTGTATAATAGTACAGTCTTGGAATGCGACACGCGTTGCATTACCAGCGTGAGAGTCCTTCTCCTTGTAAGAGTTAAGAAATGGCTGCCACGTTGCCGAGGACTCGTTCGCATGTAAAAGCACTGGAGACAGAAGACACATAAACATCATATTTGAATTACCATCTTCACTCGTGTATTGCGCGCATAAGATTTTTTGTAAATGAATTACGTATATTTAATTTAAAAAAAGTACTGAGTGGAAATTTTTTAAGTTTAACACGAAAATTCGTTCTCGTAGTATATACCATGTATACTCCTCCAACCATAATGGTGGAAGTTTGAAAAAGGCGGCGGCCGCCTTTAAATCCTAATGGATACGGGGGACAGGGATAAGAATTCCTGCGCGTAAAAATGCCCACCAACCGTAGTAGTATAGTGAGTGACACGAAAGGGAGGGCAGAGGTGTCTCGTCTGGGAGTGGAGCTAAGCGCAGGGCCGTGTCGTGTCAACCGTCCCGATGTCACTTCACGTCGTCTAGCGTTTTCATGTTTTGCTCTTAATAGAACACGTCGGCCACGTATTTGCATTGGGATCTGGTACCGCCGAGTCGCAGAGTCACCAAGTCACCGACTGACTGACTGCCTGACTGACTGAAGTGAGACCAGGATAACAGAGCTGGCCGCGACATCTTCACGGTAGCTATCTGATAGGTTTACGTCCCACGTATCTATAGAAACAGTCGCGACGTTATATTTTAACCTGCTTTCTATCTCGTGAAAAGTTTATTTTCGATACCACAAGGCTGTCTCGTGCACGAGTTGGATCCGTGACTTTTTCCTGAGTGAATACTCGGTTCGACGTTTTCGAAAAAAAAATTTGTTTGAAAATTTTTGTACGGGCACTGTAACTATGTAACTTATATATTTATATGTATACTTTAATAGAATTTACATAAAGGATTTTTATTCGTATTTTACTCGATCTTTATTCGAGTTAATGCTTCTGGTCCATATGGAAATTCGATACGCCAATTTCATGGAGAATGCATGTGCACTACTGTGTGTGAATGAGGAATCGAGTGGAAGATTTTTAATATCGATGATGCATCCTTACGACGGCACGCGTGAAATTTAATCAGAACATCGATTTCCATGGGATCTTCGGCGTATCGATGTCGGCAACGTATAAAAGCCATTAATCACGATAATATCGCGGCTTGAACAATACAGTGTAATCTGATAGGTACGTAGTTTAGCGCGATTATTATTGCCCTCGTATGAAACGAAAATAAAAAGGACCAACAAGTAGACAGGGTACACCAGGTATCGGGCAAGTTCTTTGATTAACGTCACGTACTCGCCTGGCTCATTTATCATGGCAAATAATGCAGCTGCTATTTTGACCCGCGCGCCAAATTCTCTCGACGAAACCTAACCTAACCGAAATGCATGCAGGTATCGCATTACGAGATACCTCAAGTAATAATCCTAGATAAAGGTGTTCGACGAATAAAATTTACTATATTTTAGAACCATCAAAAAATGTAACTAGGGACGCACATCCAACAACTGTAGGGACCCACCTAATTCGATGTATCCCCACTCCGGATCTCACGTCTACCCCTAAGATCGCATTCCAGAAGGGCACGGCATTCCCCGATCGGAAAAGGAATTTTTCGATCGGCAGGATAAACGATTTTTCAAAAATTCGCACCCGTCCACGCGGGACGCTCACCTTTCACAGTGCGCTTGCCGTATCGACACTGGAATAGCACCGGGACAATTAATCACCAGGAAAACGGTCTATCTAAAACGTATATACTTATATAGGTTATACCTGCACCTTGAGTTCACGAAGATACATCAAAAAAATATTAATTCACCATTTTGCCTTGAGATAACGAGATTATGAAAAATATTTTGATCTGTTAAAAGAACCCGGAAACTGTTCGTACCCATCTACCCCATATACGTAGACGGACCAGAACCATCCACATAGTAGGTGTCGGGATAGAGAAGGATGTCTACAGGGTTGCAGACAGGGAGAACTATTTATTAAAAAGTCAGCCCAGTAGCGGCGTGCTACATCGGGAGGAAAGCGATAACGTGACTGGACCAGTCATTAAGCGTAGCTTGGCTCGTTCACAGTGTGTTCCCTCTTCTCTCTATACGTTCCCTCTTTTGCTTTCCCCTTATCCCTGTGTCCAACCCTCCATACCCCTCTGTTCACTTGACTGTTCTCTAGCGGCGGTCGGGAGTTGAAGCCGTCGTCGGCGAAACACGTATCTCTCTGTAGCAAACCCATTCCGTTCTCCCCCAAGACTTGCGCGGACTATTAATAGCGCATTCATTATTGCTGTAAATGAGCCGCCTCTTTAATATCCGCATTGGTGTGCGAGCACTCCTTCCACCTTGGAACGAGCCAGCCAACCGAGCCCATGGACAACCCTTTCCGCTAGGCACCTGCGACCACCAACTCCTTTCTCGTTTCTAACCCATTCTCCTTCCTGAACGTAGTCGCCAACCTCAACCATTCGCTTTTAACGATTACGCAGGCAAGACACGCATAGCCACGCCAGCGAACCAGCCTTTAGCCGTACTTGCCAAATTCGAGGACCCTCCAGGCCGAAAGAAAAAAAAACACTGGGATGATATTATTTCTCATAGGACTTCAAACCACTTTTGCGACAAGTTCGGTTTGATTGAAGAATTTGAATTTGACGCCACGTGGTACGTGGATCTTGAAGAATGACTGATGTTGACTCTCGTGACAATTAGCTTTGAGACAGTTGTCCCTCGTGGTGGGTAGAGCACTTCATCTTCCTGGGATTGATTTAGGACTTGGGACACAAAGTTGAATATCGGGCAGGTAGTGCGCGCGTCGTAATGCGCTTTGATGCTTGAGTCTACGTCATGTGTGTGATAGTACGATGAGAGTAGCTCGTAACGGTCTGCATCGTTGGAAGTAGGTGTAATAGGCGGTGTATCGTAATAATAGCAGTGCAAAATTATTTATGGCTGAGGCGTGTTAAGCAAATAGGTAAAACAGCTGCGAAGTGACCAGTTCACAATCCAGTGGCGGAGGCATTAACCATGCCTCGTTGAAGTAATTAACGAGGTCGTCACGCATTGCCTGACTCCCGGTAATACGCATCGTCTCTTCTTGGCTTCGCCTTTTTTTGCAATTTTAACGAATATCGGTATGACAATGCGAGACGATTAACTTCGTTCTTCTAGGATTAGAGTACCAGTGTAAGAAATTATTTTCAATTTCAAAAATTTTAATCTGTCAAAAATTTATTTGAAAAATGATACATATTGTATTACGTGTATGAAAATTCAAATTTTTACTATGACTTTAACCGATCTTATTGAACTTCGTGCTTGCAGGTACCGTAAATGCAAATGGCGAAACCAAACGGCAGAGGACTTCCTACACGAGGTATCAGACCCTGGAGCTGGAGAAGGAGTTCCACTTCAATCGCTACTTGACGAGGCGGCGGCGTATCGAGATTGCCCACGCGCTCTGCCTGACCGAACGTCAGATAAAAATCTGGTTCCAAAACAGACGGATGAAGTGGAAGAAGGAGCACAAGATGGCGAGCATGAACATCGTGCCGTACCACATGTCGCCGTACGGCCACCCTTACCAGTTCGCTCCGCACCCAGGCCAGTTCGCACATTTGGCCACATAGGACGAGTTCTCGCCCGCCGAGCTCGGAGCACACGCTGTCCGGTTCCCCGGGATGTACGGCGAGCAGAACTTCTAGGCTTTTTCCAAGCGTATTACCCACGCGAGTTGGGTAAGCGAAGACTTCACTTCCGGTAGAGGGATCAGAATGAATCCAAGAGTGCGATGAAGCTATTTCTTGGAATTGTCGAAATCAATATGGTCCTACAGACACCAATAATTTTTAAACCAATAGCTAGGAAATCGTATCCGTGGAAACCATCGAGTTCAGTTGTAAATTTTAAAACCGGAAATGTAAATTCATGAAGACGTTCGAGAAGTCCGTGGTATCGTATTCGTATTGGACCATGGAATTTAATCCTTGGAACTTCCTGAATTCATATCGATCCTCGATCGGCATTCAAGATTCATTACTCAGAGAAGCGAATCTCGTGCGATAGTAAAAGTGGCCAATTTCCATGAACCCAAGGAATATAGAACAGAGCACTCTTTCTCAAATGACTATTCGAAGTTGAAGGGAAGCCAAAATTTTCTGCATAGCGTTGCCGTGCGCCCGAAATAATAGACTGGACGCGCTCCGAGGGGCTCCCACTTGACAAATTATAAATTAACATACATGAACGTGGCGAGTCCTCCTCAGCGGGCGAGATAAACGAATATCTAGCGTAAGTGTAGCGATTAGCGATTTAAACTATTAAACAATTAATTACCCTAACCCGTCCAGCTGCACACTGTTTCCAGTCTGTTCTCGCGATTTCGAAATCTCTAATGAGTTAACAGTACTTAGATATTACGACCACCGTGGTAGCCCTCTATTATCATCTGGATCTTATCGCGATCCAGATGATCCGGGATCCCAGTTCCTCGCTCGGCCGTATCTATACACACTCCCAGCATCCTAATTGTCAAACTCGCCGATCCGATCCACAAGAACAAAGAGAACCATCTTAATCGTATACACGAAGAATCGCAACAGTTCCGTGAAATGAATAATGTAACACAATTTCCACGAAGCGACAGAGTCTAGTTTCAATAAACGTAAAAGATACGAGATAGCAATAAAAGTTCTAAATCGTTCTCAAAAAGAATCAAGAAGAGGAGGCTAGTCTCGAACCATCGATCGTAACGCAGCAGAGTATAAACACGACTTTTGCTCAAACTGGATTATCCGTAACATCCGGAAGAACTTGGAAAGGCGATCATCCATAAAAATAAGCAAACGTCCTCGATTCTCGATCATTTTGAATTGGCGTTAACGCGGTTCGTTATTTGACGAAAAGCGGATGTTACGGATGGTCAATTATATCACAGAGTACCTTAAATGATTACGGTATGACGATGACTCCGGGTGATCCAGGTATGTTGCTCAATCGGGTCTGGACGTAGATTAATGTTAATGGACGAAAACGGTGAGCAGCTGAGGCCCCAGCAAGAAAGCAAGCAAACTCTCTGTAAATAGTGTGCACCGTATTGTACCCCGGATCTCTTAGGAGCAGCCCCGTTGTTCCTAGCAGTCTGTTATACACCGTGCGCGTATGTATATGTATATCGTCCTAAAGCATAAGCCTACTTATGGAGAATGCGTACGCATCGTGTGTACACCCAGCACCGCGTGTTGTGTGCAATTAGGTGCCGTGGCCGGTTGTGCGCGTGCGCGTGCGAGAGGTACCCGATTCTGCCGCTAGTGTATTGTCGCGCTAGTCGATTGCGTGTTATACGCATGCGCACGGACGAAATCGCGGCCGAGGTATCGGCGTGCATTAATTGGTTAATAAATTCGAAAACAAATTGCCCGTTAGCTGGTAAATGGACCGCAGGTGTGTAAAAATTAGCGAGTGTGTGCGGCGCGCATGCGTGCGCACGAGTAATTGGATATCTTGTGATACGAAAGCCGTCGCTCTGTGTTTAGTTTTACGTGGTCATATGCGATACGAGATGAAGCAAATTCGGAAGCATACAGGGATTCTAAGTATACCGGAGAAACGAGATGATACGTGAAGTAAGATATTGAATTGTACATAATTATTTGAATATACGTTAACACGAATATCGAGGATGTTATTATTGTACGGGGCGTTAGTGAAATCACTTAAATTCTCTTTGCCCTCAACGAAGTCAAGGAATGACATAAAAATTTTAAGTATCGCGAGTACATTAGACTTTAAAGGTAAAACCTTATAGCGATTTTCTTCAAGATCGTTCGAACCTGTCATTATTTTTTTTAAATCTATCAAATCGATTTGGTAACAGTCCCCTCGCGTTATCGAATCGTATATATCGCCAAGAATCAAGTTGTTTTCGTAACGCCCGGTACTAATAGGCATATTTAAACGAATAGAGGCGACTACGACGAGGACGACGACGATGATGATGATAATTATTATTATTCTTATTACATTGATTAATTATTAATATTATTATTATATTATATTATTATATTGAGAGTGAGTCTGTTGCTAGTGACTTGGTCCAGTGTTAATATTGTATTTTATTTGTTTCGTTATGATTTTTTGTTGTTCACGCCGCGTGTCGTCAACACGCTCCGTACCTACGAACGTGCATAAACTGCGTAGAATTCGCCTGTGCGCATGAAAAGTCAGTTGTTTTTTTTTTTTTCATTCATTTATCAAAAATTAATATATTTCGGTGCATCCATATACGTGTACGTCTCAATGTTCGATCCTTCTCGACAATTCGTATCGTCGATCGCGATCATTTCAACCGAGGCGTCTTACGATACATCGATTCGGCCACTTCACTTCAGCTTCTGTACCAGCATCTTAATTGCTCTCACGTCCAGATTAAACAAAAAAAAGACATCTCGCTCGACAAGCGTACAGGATGCATTCTCCCACTTAAGTTAAGCTCAAGTATTACGTTCACGTAGCGTTTTCAAATGTTACTTCATTCCATGTAATATACGTAATAGTCTAACTAAATACCTAAATCTACTACATCTACGTAACCTAGAGCACCGTACGTGTAAGATCATATAATTATATAACTTAAATTGTAATTATTAAATGGTATGACGTAAAGAAATCGGTCTCCTTATTGCGCCATCCGATCGGATGTCGTTGAATATTAATTTTGAATTAACCCCAAATATTCCTACAGCATCTATGGGAGTACAATACGTCATTGATTTATCGGCAATAACACGTCGGATTATTAACTTGATTTTTTTAACCGTTCGTAATTTTAAACTTTTTCAATTTATTCGCCTCTTACACGATTCGCTTACACGTTTGGGGTAGCGATAATCCTCGCACAGTAAACTTGCCGTAAAATTGCGTTGCGCTTCAAGATGCAATAACAAGTGTTATTTACACTTCGTCTTTCCCGTATTCCAAGCGCCCACTTTACTTCTCTATAAATAGATTTTGAACTTTCGACCGGCGTGGGAAGTGGCCGCGCCGCTCGACGTCCGATCCGCTTCAGTGCAATAAAATATATTCGTAAACGAATCGTCATGATTAGTTATAGAGAGTGAGATAATGCGTACCTAACCATTATATATAATATCTCGAAATCAACAAAAATCTCTCTAATTAGATGTCACTGAACGTAACCCCATTCAACCTGACCTAACATAGATATACCAAACTCCGTTATCGACATCATTTAAATATAAAACTGATGTCAGACAGGCTGAAAGATCGTGCGATGACCGTACCAAAGGTTATCCCACATGGACAAGGAAAAGATTGGAGTAAAGTTAGTAGCCGCATCCTACGATTTCAATTGCATTCTGAATAACAATGATAATAATAACACTTCAATTTTCTCAGATCGATGCACCCAGCTTCCGCCCACGCGAAAAAAAAAATCCAAGACAGTTAACACCGTGATATTAACTGGATTTACATTCGCAGCTAGACAGAATCCACCTATCTCTCATCATGGACCACGAAACTAATCTCGTCCTTCACTCTGCGCCAGACTGCATTACGAGCAAGTCGTGTTCCATGGATCCGCCGATGCATATATAAATAAGTTCGAGTAATCTCTCCGTGCCTCGAGCGAGAAAGCTCGTGTACGAAATCTCGAGCTGAAGATAAGATCGTGAAACGATGTGAGATTCGTTCGAGCACTCTTTTCCACATTAAACACAAGAGTGCATAGTGCATACATGTATACGTAATGCGTATGCGGAGTGTAGGGAGAGAGAGAGAGAGAGAGAGAGAGATGAAATAAAAATATTCAATGCAAACGAAGAAAGAAGTAGGCTCGTTGCACCTTCGAATGCAACTTCATCGTCCTACCGAATTATTGATTATTCTTGAGCTGCACGTGACTCCAGATCAGGTACACCCGAGCGTAAAGTGAAGAGCGCACTGTATTCGATGACCTGAGAACGATAAGATCGTCTGACGCGGGGGGTCGCTTGTCCACCAGGTTCAAAACAGCCGTCCTGGACACAGCCGAGAAGGAAGACAGGAGGCACCAAGTGCAAGTCACGTCTCATCCGCGAGAGATCCGACCAGGTTGTCCAAGCTACCGACGATGACGGGGCGGCTTCAATTTGTTGTGGATACCCACCTTTATTATGCGGTGCAACAGAGCGTCCGTGACTATCGGTGTTTGTCCAGGTCGATGGATAACGAAGGGGAGAAGGTGCTGGTCTTGCGGATGCCGCTATACGGCGAACGGTGTCTTCGTAGACCTACCGAGGAGAATATTTCGAATGTGTCCAGTGAATCAGTGCTACAAATATCTTTTGTTTCGACAATTGGAACGATTAATAATCAAAGTATAAAATGGATAGATATTGTAGTGCAATATAACTTTATGAAAATTTCATGAAACCCATCGACGACTGACTATGAAGTAAACACTGTGTTTTAGGATACGCGGACTATGTTTTGGAGTGCGTGGTGGATTTTCTTGTGAAATCATGATGATCTTGGGACACGGGTGTCTTTCACGATTTGTAAGAGGAGAGATTTCGTGTGGCGGCGGGGAATGGGTCGCGTCATCGGTTTAAAATTACGATCCGGCTCGCCCTCTTAAATCACCGCGTTTTAGGCCGTGGAATCTGCGTTGTCGGGACGGACCTACGTCATATATCTATTCGGACCTAGGGAAGTAGAAGCAGAAGTGGAAGAAGAAGAAGAAGCGGCAACAGCAACGGCAGCAACAAGCCTGAAAGCTACCTGCGATCGCGGAGCGGATGGTCTGCTGGTATATATGGCAGGGCAGAAGATAACGCAATCTTGAGTTATTTACGGTTTGGGTGTCGCGAGTTGTGCTTGCGCCCTGCTGATCGTTCCACGGGCACGGTTTTAAAAGTTAGTATATGTAATACGCCGCCTGCTACTAGGTGTCACTTTATGTAGCCATTTACATAAACATTAATATTCATTTAGATCTACGTACGTAATGCAGAAATTCATTGGCAACATTCTCCTGTACTTTCTTGTTTATTGTCGATATCGACGTAATGCCATAAAAGCCGATTGCGTTATCCTCGACCTGATTAGGTTAACGTTGACCTATTCACGTTTATACGTAAATATTCAATCCAACTGCAACCGGGTAATGCATGACGGCTCAGAGTCGTATCAATTCTATACATCTTATAGCTTGACATTTTATACTATAGTCAATGTACTTAAATATAACAGGGTAAGTCTACGAGATATTATTACAAGACACGGCTAAAGTCCTTTGACAACTAATAGTCGCGTTATCAATCATAAGTAGCGCTGACGCAAATTTTAATAGTTGCTAATGATAAATCAAATGTAAAAAAATCAAGAAAAACGAACAACCCACAGTCACAGTAATGCATCCAGTGCCAAGAATCGTCTGACGTTGAGTATCAGCAACGTGGCGTGAACACTGTAGGTATATAATACCTCTCGCCTGCCGTCAGTCACTCAGTCAGTCATTGATACCACAGGGTGATTAATGAAGAGTCAAGGTTCGGGATCGCAGTGCCGACTTCGAAGGGGGCTGTCAGAGCCCCAAGCACACGACATTGCGAAGAATGTCGATACCACGAGAATGGAAACAAACGCAGTTACGTTTGCTAAGAGAGCTTTAAGATTTTGCAAAAATTGAAAACCATTCAATGTACGATACCAAATTTTTACTTCGATACCCAAGGGAAAAAATAATCAAAAAGAAAATAAAGAAAAAATTATGTAAATAAAAGAAAAGGTCAACGGAGCAGCATCGACGTTAAAAATTCCTCAAAATTTCTTCGTATAAATTTCGAAAATTTTTTTCTTCAAATTTCTCCATCCCTTAGAAATTGCACAAATTTTATACTTATGTGACAGAACATGACTTTCTCCTAAAATCAATACGAAATCGCGTAGACACGAAGAAAGAGTAGCTGGGAGCAAACCGTTCATCCTGCTTTACTGTCCGTCCGTCTACGTCCACGTCCATCCGTTGCGGTCCGTCCGTCCGTCCGTCCGTGCCGTCGATGCCTGTCCACAAACGGAGCGGAGCAAGACTTCACCACTTTTATGTACGGAGTCTGAATAACAAATCTGTCCAATTCACATGTCGACATCAAAGAAGATAATATAAACACTACATCGATACATCGTCCACAAAACCTTAATGTTTTATTAATGCGGCCTCCATCTCATCCCATTCCGAGTTCATTCCATCCAGCGCGCGGAACGCACACGGTGTCCGTGTATCGCGAACAAGAAGAGCCACTCGAGTGCAGGGTATCGCACTCAAGGAACACCCTGTATTCCTATAATAGTCCCTCGCCGAACGTTGCACTTCTACGAAAAGACATACTTCCTTCCACAGTGAGAAGAATTCGCGAGCAGCTTTTTCACACGCGACATTTTATTACAATTTCGTGGCACGATTAACCATACGCGACTCGCGCCTACGAATCGAAATACAAAGACGTTTGAATGAACTATGTTAAATTTAATTTATATATATATATATATATATATATATATATATATATATATATACACACACGCGGTGCCTTTGACAGCTAAAAAAAGTCTAAGCTTGCACGAGTCCACAAGGATATGTAATAGCCTTGTAGAATCCTGTGCACTTAAGGCGCTTGTAAATATTCCATCTTTATTATCCTCTCGGTCGATCTCACGTTCGCTATATGGTCCATCTTCTTTGGCAATCCACCATTTCGATGCAGACGAGATTTCTTCTCTCCGCGGTGGGTAAACGTTACGCACGAAATGCGTAAGCAACGTCGCGCGTAATAGCATGCAGGAATGCAGGCAAGGCAGCGAAGACAGGGTGTAGGTACGCGCTGCAGGGAGGTTTGAAGTCAAGAAAGAAAGAAACCTTCTCCTGCCTCTCTTGAACCGAGCGAAGGCTGACTCCTGAGTCCTGTGAGTGACAGCCTCGCCACGTACGTGGGAGGCAAAGTCTCAACAAAGGAAAGACGATAGTCTCATGCAAATAACCGATATCGCAAGATATCTCTACGGCATCGCCATCTTTGCCATCCTGGCCATTCCGTCTAGGCAACGACCTGGGCTCATCATGCTGGACTCTAGGATTACTTTATGCACCCGTGCATTCCTAACCGACTACTTGAGTTTAACGTGACGAGGTTGCGCGGACATGTGATATGACCTAAGTCAGACTAATAATAAAAACAAATAATTGCTCGACGATAATTCAACGATTTTATTAAAAATTTATGAATAGTTCACTTTTTTTATAACTTCAAATTTAATTCATACACTCAATCATTGTGTGCGATTGAAAGGGATCGGTCAAGGGTCAAAGGTTACGTAATACTCGTGGAAATTTAAGCAAGGATAAGCCGGAAATCTTATGGTGGATCTTCAGGACCCAATATTCGCGTTCCTCGTAGGAAACCCCGATGGTGGGGCGACCTTTAGACGTCACTTGGAATTCCAAATATCCGCGAGTTTCTAAGATGTAATAACGAATGACATGGCTGGAGAACAAACGAAACGAGAAAGTCTCGCGGTGGAAAGAGTAGCGCAGAGAGACGGGGAGGGGGCGGGGGGGGGAAGGCCTGCTCACTGCCACTATAACAGAGTTTCAAGGGTTCTGCTCTC